CTGACTTATGCCCTTGCAATTCACCATAACTGACTTATACCATTGTACTTCATCGGAATTCATTCCTACCAGTCCTATACTCCATGTGGTATAATCATCTTTATCCTGGTCATTGATACCTAGCAGTATCTACCAAATGACCTTCACGTGTTACAGGTGTTTGGAAGCCCTCGGGTATCCTTTTTCTTTAGGTGCCAGAAATGTTTGGTAGACTAATGAGATATTGATGGTATGACAGAGGTAGTCCATGTGGTGAGCCCTTTTAGATTTTCTCCAATTGGAATGAATATAATTAGTTTATCCAGGACAACTGAAAGGTGTGCTGAAGCTTTGTAAGAATGTACACTTTCCTTCGAAGATACAACTTTCTTAAGGCCCTCTATAACTTTAAAAGTGTTGTCCTGACACAGCATTTCATATCCCTAGCAATGTCAGTGTTGCATCAAGTTACCATGCTGGTTTCTATATTTGTTTTCCAATATGTCTGTCTTATGTATATGCTGCCTTTTCTCAATAAATATCTGTTATTGGAAAAAAAGTCCTGTTTTGCCCTGGTTTATTTCATTTCATTTCTGCTCTGCCAGCATAATTCTTATGAAGTTTTGATATACTGTTTAGAGGTGTGAATGGACATGATCAGAACCAATCTGACAGGACAAATAATCCACAAAGGAATTTGAAGATGGCAATAGTTTTTAATAAAAATAAAGAGGTGTATTATCCTGCAGGTACATGCACTGTAGCATTTCACAGATGAAAACCAGGATGTGTTTGATCAAGATGGCAAAAGCTATCAGTGAGGGAGAAGACTAGCTAGGAGAAGATACAGCAGGTTGCTTTTGTCTGAGTATTGGGAAAGACAAAATTCTGTTCCTCCTTCTCCTCTCCAACCAATTTGAGTTATCTGAGTAGAAACTATTTTTGCCCTTTGCACTCAGTTTGCAGAAATTGAAGTAAGTTAAGGACAAAAGGGGGAAAGTAGGAGGAGGCAAAGAAACTGGGACATTTTAAAAGCAGCTGAAAAAAGTGGGATGGCAGAAGATTGATCAGAACTGTTCTTGCCAAATCAGGACAGTTAGAGAATATGCAGGTGCACCATATATTCCTTCAGAATCCCAGAGAATGCACTTCTTGAAATGAAGAGTGCATCCTCCAAGAAATAGAACCTGTCTTGGACCAGACCTAGATCATGTGCCATGTGTAGGATTGTAGTGAGGACTCATATAAATCCTTTCCAGCAAAGGGAGAACAGCTAGCTTCATCTTTGCGCATAAGTGACTTGTGATGAAAAGGGCCTATGAGGGCACAGTGGGCGATACTAGAGGAAAACGGAATTAAAATCTGTCACTCAGGACGCAGGCGCATACAGCCACACTCAGCAGAATGTTAAACGGCCTCGTTTATTCTGCGAGACTGTTTGATCACCAGAAAACATCTCTCTGCTGCTGTCTTGTAAAAACAGGTGGGTCCCTGCAGTGCCTGACAGCGGTACATGACAGATCTCCCCAGAGTTTCACCACTTGCTTTGCACACCATGCACAGAGCTCATAAGTTTAATATGAATAATTGACACTTGCTTTTGAAACTGGCTAAATAATAACTCTGTAGCACAGCTGCTTCTAGCCTATGTCATGCAGCCTTCTTTCCAGATGTGTCCGACTACAGTTCCCATGCTGTGTGGGGGTGAAAGTTGTAAACCAACCCATCTGAAAATTGATGGAGACGGGGAGGCTGACATAGCACACTGGATATCAGAAGGAAGGGGAGCATGGGGTGGAGATATGCACAGATTTCCATTTCTTCCACACGCACAGATATCTTTTGGAGAAACATATGGATGGTAGGGAAAAAAATTCACAGAGAAACATTAGAGCAGGGACCGGCAACCTATGGCCCGGGGGCCGGTTAAGGCCCCGGGCCCCGGACTTACCGGCCCAGGCTGAAGGTTGCCGCCGTCGCCGCCGTCGCGTGCCGCCATCGGGGCGCATTTTCGGCTGCGCTCGCTGCGATCACCATTTTGGAAGTCAAAATGGCTGTTGTGACGCATTTGTGCATGCACAGTACTCTTGCGCATGCGCAAACGCATTGCGGCCGTGATTTGGACTTTCAAAATGGCGGCCGTGACATGCGCCATGGTGGCTGCGGCCGCGCGCGCTACGGCGGCCGCCGCAGTAGCGGCTGCGGCAGCCGCGTGCACAGGGGGGGTTGCGCGTGGTGGAGGAGGGTGCGCTATTCCGCCCCCCCTCGGCCCAGCCGAGACCTGGGCTACGGGAGACCGGCCCAGGTCTCAAAAAGGTTACCTGTCCCTGCATTAGAGGATATGTTCACAATACAAAATTATTAACTTATTCTGTGAAATATTTTTAAGAGAGTTTATATCACGATTTAGGCCAGATTGGGCAACCTGTGGCCTCCAGATGATGTTGGACATCATTTCCCATCATCCCCACACCATTTGTTAAGATTGATGAATGCTGTGGTGCAGCAATCTGGAGTCCACTTAAATATGGAGTGATCCAAACCATTTTAAGGAAGGCAGATGCATGACAAATAATTTCTTTATTCAAGCTGGTGTTCCATGGATTGTTCCTGGTGTGAAGTATTGAGTGTCAGTCCATGATGAGTTTCCAGGGACCCATTCATAGTACAGAATTCTAGCACTATGTTTCCACCTTACCTGCCATGGTTCCAGTCTATGGAATTCTGTGATTTGCAGTTTAAGGAGGGGCATTTTGAATTCTCATAGAGTGTACCAGTATCTCACCAAACTACAAACCCCAAGATTCCATAGGCTGGAACTATGCCAGTTAAAGTGGACTAATAATGCTAGAATTCTGTAGTGTGAACGGACCCCCAGAAAGAAACAAACAACTGTAGTCAATGGGCACAAATATGATGGTGTCCCCTGGCACATTGGGAAACAAACCCTGCCAGTTGCCTACATCAGATAGTTTAAGAACCACTGATATAAGGAACTTATTTCAGCCTTGTGTAATAGACATTCCTCCATCCATTTCTGCTACATCCTACAGGCTGGCATCCAGCGCTATAATCCTAAATACTATAAAGACCACGGTTTTGCCTGTTGACAGCAACTGAGGTCATTGTTTTAAAACCAGATTTTAGGTATCACAGGGAGGGGAATTATGCAGCCCTCCAGCTGTTGTCAGACTGCAACTTTAGCAGTCCTAGCCAGCATAGTGAAGGGTGCTGGGAGTTGCAGTTCAACCTCTGCAGAGCCCCTGAGCCACAGCCAAAGAACTGCATGATGACAGGACATGATACCTTTTAAATGCCCAGTCAGTCAATGCCACCCTGTCTCAGGGGCTTTGGGCAGATAAAACCCCATCATCTAATAGAGCCTCCACTAATGAAGCACCATCCAGACCTGGTAGGGCAAAACCCTTCATTCCCAATCAGCACACTGACTTGTAATGATGGGATTTGCAGTCCAACATGTATAAAGGGTGTGCCACTGGGGGGGGGG